GGGGGGGGTTGCCTAGGGATAGAGTTTCTGGATGGGGAGGGCAGCAGTGACTTAGAGGGTTGGGGAAAGGACTGAAAAGGCCCTGGTAGTAGTGGTAGCGTTTGGTGTATATACGGAGGGGTTATCTGGGACCCAGACAACTTTATTCTCGCTCATCCTTTCTTCTAGTCCGGGAGGCCCATGTCTGAAGAGAGGTCCCACACACCATTGAGAAGAAGGCTGAGGGATGGTGTGCTGCCCCGGGGGTGCCTGGGGGTGCCAGCGCCTGGAATCAGCATGCTGATCTGGGTCCAGTAGCCACGAGTGAGGCCTCGTGAGGCCAGGAAGGCCTCCTTGTTGAAGGTTTCACTGGTCACCTCTGGAAAAGGAGGAGAAAGGTTGAGGGCCTGGTGGCTAGGACCCCAGGCTTTAGCTCTCCTCAGTCTCTCCCAAGGACCCTGGGTCTGAATATGGGGCTAGTCAGGGAGAGAACTAACATTTCTGAATGTCTACAGTGTAGCAGGCATCCAGCCTACAGAATCCCTATAACAATTCCCTGGGAACACTTGTTAGTGTCCCTATTTTACAGATGAGGAAACTCACGTGCTAAGAAATAAAGTGATTGTTTAAGGTCACCAGTTAGTGGTGGAGCTGGGAAGCAAGTGTTTGAATTGCTAGTTCCAAATCCCCTAAGCTCTCTCAGGGACCCAGGCTCTGAGTCCTTAGCTCCAGAGATCTTGTCTCCAGCCTCAGGGGTCTAGTCCCCTGCCGCAAATACCCAGCATCCAGCCCTTATTTCAGGGGTCCACACTCCAGTCCCAGGAACTTCACCTCCGGGATGTCAGACATCCAGGCCTCAGACACAAAGAGCCAGTCCCAGTTCCCCTTCCCCATCCTGCCTCCTTATGGTACCTGCAGTGTAGGTAAAAGGCAGAGTTGCCAGTTCCCCTGTCCGCTCCATGAAGGCTGCAAGCCTCGGGCACCAAAATCTGTGGCTCACATCATCTGGGCATCGCCGCCAGTCGGCCCGGAGACAGGCCTCTCCACAGTACAAGACAGCGCTACACTGGGGGCTGGGGTCACAGGGAGTGGTGGGCACCCAGAGTTAATCTCTGTAAATCCTCTGTCTGCCATCCGTCTGCCCTGCAGCTGCCCAAACTCCATCTTTGTCCATATTCTCTGCCAGTAACAGCTTGTTTTCTTCATCTCATTTCCCTGCCCCTCTGTCTGTCTGCAAGGTCCCCCACCCGCCTGCTGTTTGCCTTTCTATTGGGGTCTTCCTTCCTCTCACTCCATCTTTGCCAGCTGCTCACCAGGGTGTCAGCTTTACTTCAAAGCTGTGCTTGTGACAAACATGACAGGTTCGAGCCCGGAGGGAGGCAAAGGTGAAGCCTGGCTGGGGACCCCAGGTCCGCATTGGGGTCTTGGCTAACTTCACTCCCAGCCTTGGGACCAGACTCTCCAGCTCTCTGGATAGGGGTGGACAGGGCATCGGGCTGCAGGGTTCAGAAGTCCAGGCCTCCTAGACCTCCCCACCCTCAGATACCAAATTTCTGTACCGGTGCAGCTGGGCATCTCCCACAGTAAGCTGTCGGGGCTTTCGAGGGTCGCCAGAGCCCATGGGGCAGGCCATGCTGTGGCAGAGGAGAGCATAGGCCCGAGGAGCCATGTTCTCTGTCCCTGAGCCCCTGCCTGCACTCCTCTGGGCTCCATCCATTAGCAGGTCAATGCCCAAGATGGTGCCATGTTCATCAGTCACCAGTAAGAGGCAGGAAAGGTGCAGGGGGGCAGCCTCTGCAGAAGAAGGGAGAAGTCAGAGGTGGGGGTGGCAAAGGTGGTAAAGGTCAGGGGTACCAAATTCAAATGCCTACGGGGGCGAGGCAAGGAAACTAAGTGAGTAAAGGGAAGTAGGCTGAGAGCGTATGCCTCATCTAAAGGACGCAGCTGCTACACAGCGCTGGCACCGGCTGCTACGCAGAAACGTGAGCCTGCTGTCAGAACCTTATAGTTTTTCTTAAGATGGGTCTAGACTTTGGGAGTTTTTCTTTCAACGTTTAAGTGTTGGCTTAAGTGAAAAAACAAGAACAATGTGGGACAATAAAAACACCTTTTCGGGCCAGATTGGCCTGAAGCCACCCTTTTGTTTGTAACTCCTTGCTGGGTTGTGAGTGGCAGGCAGGGTTTCAGAAGAGAGGGGGAGCATATCTAAGTGGGGGGCAGGGCCAGGCCAGCCCTGGGTTCTTACCACTTCTCCGTCCCTTCCTCCTCTTAGGCCCAGTTTCGTCTTCTGCCCTGTCCTCTTGGCAGCCATTCTTGCCACCGCCTTCCTTCTGCTCAGCCTCCTCTGGCTGCCCTGGGGGATTTGCTTCCTGGGGGGGCTCCCCGCTCATACGGGCTGGCTCCCCATTCTCCTCTGGTTCTCCCTTCTCTGTGCCTGCACCCTCCTCTTCTCCATCTTCCTCCTCTTCCTCCTCTTCCTCCCCCCCTTCCTCCCCTTCCTCCAAACTGACAAAGCTGACGTAGGGGCTTAGGTCTCGCAGGTGGAGTGGGGGCTCATCTCCCAGCAGCCAGCCAGCCCCCAGGCCTGGCCCAGGGCCTGGCTCTGCCCCTTGCCCCAAGCTGATGCCCACACTACGATTGGGCAAGACATGGAGAACCCAAAGGGCAGAGTCCTGGGGCAGCCTTCTGATCTGAGCCTCCAACTGTCGCCAGTGGCCCTCAAAGCTGGTCTCCATAGCCCCACGCTCTGCCACGAACTTTCGGAACCAGCCGAAGAGCAGGGCAGTGAAATCAAGGAATTCATCACGATATCCAGACACAAACTCCATGTCTTCAGGGGCACAGGGCCTGGGCTCAGACTAAGCATAGGAAAGGATTGTATGGTGAGGGAGAGGATGGTGGTGAGAATTTGGGGTTGGGCCACAAAATGGGGGAGGGTGGGTTCAAGGGTCCCTTAGGGTAGAATCTATAGGTGAGTGTTAGGAGCTGAGAATAAGGTTTTCAAGGCTGAAGATGGGATCCGGGTTGAGAATGGGGGCTAGACGGGAAAGTGGGCCATTGGGTGAAAGATGTACTCAGGGGGAAGTTGGTACTTGAGGCTCAAACCCTCAAAAGCGAGGTTTGAGTTAGGATAGAGATAAGGGAGGGCTTATCCTATTGGGGAGGGTTTGGCAAGGAGGGAAGAACTTTGGATCCGTCGGTGGGGTGTGGGAGGAGGGAACAGGAGCATCCCTTGGGCTTGGATCGGTTTGGCGGTGCGCCCCAGTAGACCTAGCCTCTCCGGCCGTTCCTCTACTCCGGTACCTGCAGCCGCCACCACTTTTCGAAGGTAAATACCTCGGGTGCGGGCGGTGGTGACGTCAGGGCTGCGGAGCCCGTGGGCCGCTCCTCACGAGTTGGCAGCTTGTGTTCCTCGAGTCCCGCGGACTTTCCTGTGCGCATCACCCCGGCTGCGTCACAGGATCCGGCTGTGGCAGGGTCCCTGCCAGGGAAGTGAAAGCGCTTTGGAGGAGGCGGCGGCGGGTGAAGCCTCTCTCCAGTCGCAGTTCCCGAGGGCTGACCTGGGGTAGGTGCGCGGACGGGCGGAGCTGGCATCCAGGAGCCTTCCCGAGCGCCCCCGCCAGGTGCCAGCCCCGCTGCCCCGCCGCGCTCACAGCCCAGGTTTTCTTTCTCTTTCTTCAGACATTCCCGGCCAACCCCACGACGAAGGCCCCAGTGCCGGGGCGCGGGCGCTCCGGGGGTTTCCCACCCGCGGGCGGCTGGGGGCCGCGCG